GCCGCGGAGCCTGCGCCCCGCGCACGGTGGGCGGAGAGAGCCGAGCCCCGGCCTCGCAGGCGGCGGCGTCCCTGGTACCCCAGGCCCGTGGAGGGACAATCCGGACGCCCCAGCTGCGCCAGGTCGCCTCCCCAGCCGTGGCAGCCTCCACACCCCTGCATACCCCTCCCCAGCCCACACGTGGCGGCGGCGCAGGAGGAACTCAGAGGAGGGGACTGTGGCCCGCCTGTATCCAAGGCTGCCCGCCACGGCGGGGCTGCCCACCCGCAGCGGGGTCACCGTGCTACCAGGGGGAGCCCCTGGGAGATGCTTGACACCCAAATGTGTGCACACACGTATATACACATATGTACGTATACGTAATATTATATATGATGTATAATAACCTATACAATAATTCCTTCAAACCTGTAGTTTAAACAGCAGGTCACCTCCTCCTCAGGGTCTTTTGAGCAGAAACCATCCCGTTCGTTCCCCAAAAGCACCAGGCACTAAGGATGAGGTCCCTGGCCTGTTGTCACTTCCGGCCTGTTCTAACAGTGTGAACAGATTTGGGAATCCCCAGGCCAGGTGGGGTAGAGTCACAGCAGGTCCAGAGGAGGGGTGTGGCACCCCCCTGGGTGTGACCTGCTGTGAATCTCTCCCCCCAGCTAAGAAGAGTCTGCACTGGACCCTTCATAGATTAATAGTGTGGATTCCATTCATTCATTCAACAAACATTTATTGAGTACCCGCTAGGTGTCAGGCGCTGTTCTGACCAATCCAGGCACTACAGTAACCAAAACAAAGATCCCACTTCACGGATTGACATCCTAGTGGAAGGAGACAGATAACGAACAACACGCATAATAAATGCTTAGTCGTAAAGTCATCATTGCTATAGAAAAAAAAGAAAATGTAGATCAATATGAAGGGAATCGGGGGGAAGGGGAGTCTTTTTCCCTCCCCAGAAACAGAAAAGTAATACCACCCACGTATAAGGTTCCCTCTATGTTCCAGGGGCTTTATTCTATTATTCCTACCTCCACAATAATGCTGAGAGGTAGCTTTAAACTGGGGCTCAGAGAGGCCAAGGGCCTCACCCAAGGTCACCAGCAGCAAGCGATCAAGAGGAACTGAAACCCGGGTCTGCCCAACACTCAAGGCAGAGAAACCTCAAGACCCTGCCACACCCCTCACCCACCCCTAAGCCGCTATTTGGCACTCAGAGCCCCAGGGTGGCCCACAGATGGGTCTGTGCAGCAGGAGGAGGCCACCTGCACCACGGTGACCATTTCTGCTGTGCCCCAAGAAGGGGATGTGGAACACCAAGCACTGGACTGACAGTCGTAAGGACCAGACCTGGGATGCCATCTCTGCTGCTCACCAGCTCTGTGGACTTGGACCGGCGGCTGCATCTCCTTGGGTCACCGTTTTCTCCTCTGCAATAGTTAGCAGAGCAGTAGCAGCCACCTCACAGGGTTGTGGAGGTGTAATGACACTGGTGTAATCTGCAAACTTTATGGTACTATATCACCACTAGCTGTTGGCCTCAGTGTTCCCATCTGTGCAATGGGAAGGCACTCTGCTCTGCTGTAACTCCTTCAGCCCAGGGATTCCTGATGCGAGCAACAGCAAACCTGAGGGGTGCTGTGTAGAACACACTTTGGAGGCCAGGGCTCTGGGTTCATAATCCTGATTCTGCTACTTGTTCTGTGAGTTTGGCAAAGCCTCTTAAATTCTCTGCTACTATGAAATTGGGGTAGTGGAGATGTGAACAGAATGAGTATTTAAACCATATTACACAGAGGAGGTGCTTGGTAAAGTTTAGCTTTGTAAAACTTAGTAGACAGCGGCATAGACTATTACTCCCTCTGCTTTACCTTTTGCTGTAATGTTTGATATCCTTTATTTTCTAAAAAGACCTAAAGAAAACATGACAAAAATGTTAATATTTGTTCATTCTGGCTGATACAGTCACAGATGTTTGTTATATTATGATCTGTACTTTGCTATAATTAAAAAATAATTTTTTCAAGATTGGACCTGGGTGGTGGTGCCACCTTGTGGTTACCCTGTTATTATCATCAATTTAAGAACAACTCAGAAGTTGCGTGTGTGTGCTCCTAAATTTATCATTTCCGTCATGGAATAATAAAGCCCTACACTTCCTTAACATTTCAGAGCAGAGAGGGACCTTCAAGGATGATTAGCCTTTGCTCGACTACTTCTAGCCACGGGGTGCTCGCTCCCTAGAGGAGAAGGCTGGTGCCACAATGAGACAGCTGAGTCTTAGGAAGTCCTCCGCCCCAGACCCCCATTCTCATCGGTACATCAAGGACCAAGGAGAGCTCCTCATTACAGAGATGGAGAAACCAAGGTCCAGAGATGTTGTGGGGCCTGCCCAATGCTGCTCACCGAGGGCATTGACCAACTGGGTAAACTCCACGAGGGCAGGGATTTGTCTGTTTTAGTCGCTGCTGCATCCTCAGCACGTATCGGGCTGTCAATATATATATGTTCAATGAATGAATGAACAAAACTATCAGCCCAACCACCAGCTGTTGTGGGCCATTCATTCTCGATCATTATAATCATGGCTGACATTTATCGCGGTCTCTCTCTGCCAGGCACTGTCCCAAGGTCTATTTGTACACTGAGTTATGTAAAGCTCACCGCGACCCTGACAGGGAGGAGGTAGGGTCATTATTCCTCATTTTACTGATGGGAAAACAGCCTCAGAGATCTTAAGTGACTTGCTCAGGATTACACAGCTAGGAAGTGGCCCATCCAGGATTTGAACTCAGGCCGACTGGATTTTCCCAGAGGCCTGGAGCAGGGGAAGAAAACTGGTTGCGAGTTGTTGGCCCCACACAGGCGAACCAGGCGCGGAAACCGGCACTAATTACCCGCCCATCCGGCGAGGGGCCGCGTTGACAGCGCTGCGTGTCACTGTTAATCCCTTGTTAAGATTTTTAACTCCTCCACCCGGGGAGGGGAATGGCGGAGGGGGAGCCGCAGTTTTTTTTCTGGCTGTCTTGGCGGTTCAGTTTGAGGTTGGCGAGGAGAGAAATTGGCAGTCACTGCTCCGCGGCTCACTCCCATCGGCAAGCTGGCGCAGCCAGGGATGCTCTCCTAGGCTCTCGACTCTGGCTCCTCCCACCCGCTCCTCCCACATCCAATCAGCAGCGCCTCTCCCGCGTGGCCCCGCCTCTCCCCGTGGCCCCGCCTCTCCCCGTGGCCCCGCCTCCCCATGCGCGCGGCCCGTGCCCCACTCCGGCTTCCATCCTCTGCTGCCTGGACGACTGCAGTTTCCAGCGGGTCTCCAGCCTCCCCCTCCTCCTCCCATGAGACTTCTTTTAGTCTCGCTGAACCCAGCTCTGCGCAGACACTCCCAGGGCTCTTACTGCAAAGAGGGAGGTCTGAACTCTGGCTAACAGTCCAGGCCTGCCACCAGCCGCGCCAACCCACCTTCCTGCTTCCTTTCCAGCAAGCCTCTTACTAATTTCTTTATGTATCTATGAATTTATACCCTGCCTTGTTCCGTCACAGGATGGAGGCGGCTCTTGACCAAGGAGCTCAGGGTGGAGGAGCTCTTGCCAAGACAGTGCTCCGGTCTCAGAGGTCCAGCACCAAGGACACCGCCCCAGGAAGCCCTTCATGTGGACCTGGTCTGAGTCCTCAGAAGCCACGCAGCACTTTCTCTCTGCCCTCGAGTCAGTCCTCACCTCCAGCCGTTTAGAAAGACGATGAATATGGCCAGGGCTTTTCCCCACCAGACTGAGGGGGGGGTCACTGAAGTCTGCACGCAAGAGGATACCACAACCCAATTCCACGTCAAGGGACGCAGCGCCACCATGGAGGCGCATGCAAGTTGTCCTGCACGACTGCAAGAAGTCCCCGTCTGGAGTTGGGAAGTAAACCTGTTCGCAGTGCAGAGCAGCCATGAAGGGAAGGCGTGGGTCCCCTGGGGCAATCGTGTCATACATAACCGTCGTGACTACAGGGCGCCAGAACAGACTCCTGGGGCCGCTGCTCCCCAGCCTGGGCAAATCCCTCCCAGGGCATGAAGGCCCTGTTTTCTCATTTGCAAAATGAGGATTTTCCATGGATTAGAAATAACCTATGTGAGTTGCCCGGTACGTGGTGGTAACTGCAGGTGTGCGAGGAAGGACGGGGGGTGGGGGGTGGTCATAGCCCTCGGCCACACCACCAGCCCTGCCCTTCTCAGCGGAGAATGTGAGGGGACCCAAGCTCAATTGCACAGGGGTAATGATACCAAATTTGTGGGGTCACTGTGGGGAGAAGACTCCAGCGGTGTCCAGCACCCGGCCCAGCACACAGCAGGTGATTAACAAGTAGCAACTACTAAGGCTTTGCTGAGAGCAGAACCATTAGGCAAGACTGCCTGGCGCCAGTCCTGTGGGTGACATTTCTTAACTATGACCCTGGGCAAAGGACTGGGTCCGTCTGCACTCAGATGCCGCATCTGCAAAACGAGAGCAGTATCAGCATCACAGGGCAGCGGTGCGGATTACGAGTTAATGTATGTCAAGTCCTCAGCACAGCACCCACCCTGTGTATTAATGTCTAACCACTGGTTTGTCCATTTCCCCTGTCCCGGGCCAGGCCAGGTGGGGGTCCAGGGAAGGGCTGATGCTGGCTCACAGTGAGGGTGAAAAAGAGACGGCATGCGTCAAGCCCAAGGGACAAGGTCAAAGTCAGAAAGGCCCAGTTCTGGAGGCAACCAAGGCCAGAAATGGGCACCCAAGAGGTGGGAGCCAGCGTGCACACGGCAGGAAAGCAGGAGGGCCACTAGGGGGCAGAGAGGGGCTGCTCAGGGCTCACAGGGCGCGCCGGGCAGCCTCACCCCCTCCCCCTGGGCCTCGCTGCCGGGCCCCTCGGGGAACCCCGGGCCAGCAGAGCCAGCCAGTGAAGAAGAGGACACAGGCATTGAACGAATTTATTCATGAGAAAACTCGGGTCCGTCAGGGAGACAATCTACTGGTCACAAGCTCCAGAAGCTCTTGTCACAACTGCCGTGGGGGCTGGCACCCCAGGCAGGGGGCTGGCGGGCAGTTCTGGGTACTGCCTGCCTGCCCTGCCCTCCCCCTGGTCCCCGCGCCCCCTCTAGGGTTAAAGTGCAGCTGGGAGGGGGTGGGGGTGGGACTGGGCAGCTGGAGAGAGGCCTCAGCTCTAGCCCCTCCTCCTCCCGAGTCCATCCCACCCAGGTCCCTCCTTGGAACCTCTGGGTCTTGGAACCTCCCCACTGTCAGATATCTAGAAAGAGCTCCCCAGGAGGGCAGGGCTGGCTCCACCAGCTTTCTGAGGGGCCCAGGACTTCGGGGGCAGTGGGAGGCACTAAGAGCTCAGAGATGGAGTGGGAGACGGTTACTCTTCTTCAGTGATGGTCTGGGGAGTCATCCCCTCCCCCTGGCCCAGGAAGGTTCCTCCCTTGCCTCCCTCCACCCCCTGGAAAGCCAAGGATGCCAGAAAGGCCCAGAGAGCCTGGCTCCCAGCTCCAGGGCCATGAGTCAGCAGGGTCCTGCCCAGGCCTGACTCCCAACCACGCCATCTAGAGAGGGCTACTTCAGCGCCACTGGGGAGAAGCTGCCCTGGGGATGCGAGGCCTCTGGGGAAGCCTGTGGGGCCCAAGTTTCCTGCTTCTGCCAATGGTCTTCCTGGCCGGGACCCTGCCCCTCCCTCAGGGCTGCCGCTGGCCTAGTGCCCACCCTCAGCTCAGGGCCCCAGCGCCACCACCTGCACCCCCAGGGGCCCCGCCCCGCCAGGGCTGTGTGGGCCTTAGCCTGGCTCCCGCCATCTTGGATGGCCTGACCCCCCCTCAGCAGCTTAGCCAGCCTCCTCCCCCTCCCCAGGGCACATCTCCAGGAGGCAGAAAGGAGGAGAATCCCCCTCGGAAAAAGAAGCCTGAAGTCGTCTGCTTCCTCCCCCCCTGAATATATTAAATTGTGCAGCTCGCTCCAGCCCCTCCCTTCAGATCTCCATGGCAACCGGAAAGCATTCCAAGTCCAAGTCTGAATCCAAGTCCATCCAGTGCCAGAGGGGGGCTTCAGCCTCTCCCCCACTCCCCCCCCGGCGGGCGAGACCCCACATGCCACAGAGGATGAGAGGGGAGGATGAGCCGGGGCCTCAGTCCTCAGCCCCCTCTTCCTCGGCATGGGGGGCCCCGGGGGGGTCCTCGGGCTCAGGGGTCTGCCTGCCGGGGTGGGGGTGAGGGTGGAGGTGGGAGTGGGCGCCAGGCTGGGGGCCCGGCGCGTCCTCGCCCTGCACGTAGACGCTCAGCCCCTCGTGACTGGGCTCCTTGCCGCACGCCTGGCAGCTGCAGTGCAAGATCTTCTCCACCAGCTTGTCCACCCGGGGCACCTCCTCGTGGCCAGGGCACTCCAAGGTCACCTGGGTGGGGCAGGAGAGAAGGGGAGAGATGTTTCCAAGCCCTGCGGCAAGCAGGGAGGCCCCCAGGGTAACACTCCCCACAGGACCAAGAATCCCAGAGACCCCAGAATCCTGGGCCCACCTGTGATACCCCAGTTAGCTCCGAGGGCCCATCGGGGGGAGGGGGACGGGGAGTTGAGCCCCTGCAGGAGCCACTCGACTTGTCTCCTTACAGTCCTGCCACCTTCCCATTCATTCCCTCACGGCAGCCGGAGGGCACCCTGGGGGAAAAATCCAACATGGCCTGCCCCTGCCTAAAATTCCCCTCGATGCTCCCCACTGCACTTGGAGAAGAGTCCTGACTCCTTACTAAGGCCAACCAGGACCTTCAGGCTGCCCCGGCGGACCCCTCCACCCCTCACCTTGTGCTCCTGTCAACTCTGTGCTACCTGATCTGCCTGAGACATGCTGTCTCAGACATGCTTTGCACATGCTGTTCCCTCTGCCTGGAAGGTCCTCGCCCAACCCATCCCCTACAAAATGCCCCAAACTTTGCCCAGTTAACTTCAACTCAACCTCTGGATCTGAGCCCACACATCACTTCCTCAAAGCCCCTCCCAACCCCCTGCCCAGCTGAGGTTCACTCTGGGCAAACCCCCTTGGCATCCTGCTCTTCCCCTGTTGTCACACTTCTAGTTGCCCTTCCTTGCTTCTCTTTCCCTCCTTCCTTCCACAGAGCACCTACTCCAGGCCAGCTCTGGGGACACAAGGGCAGGCATAGTCCTTCAAGGAACTCAGAGTCTACTGGGGGAAACAGACTTGTCAAAATTACCCAAATGCAGATGGAAAACTGTAAATGTGACGGATGCTCAAAGCAGAGGCACACAGTGCTCATGGGGTCGGGAAAGAGGCCCTGAGAAAATGCTGCTTGAGCCAAGAGCAGAAGAATGAACAAAGTTAACTAGGTGAGGAGGAGGGGAAAGGTATTCCAAACAGGGACGAGAGCATGTGCGAAGGCCCTGTGGTGGTGGCAAGTAGACTAGGTAGGAGAGACTGAAAGTAGAAGAGTTGGTGTCAAGGGTCAAGCTAGTAAAGGTGAGAGAGGCAAGATGGAGCTAGAAAAATTGGTGAGCCAGACCACACTGGGCCTGGCAGGGCAGGGCCAAGATTTTGGTCTCATCCTATAACAATGGGAAGCCACTAAAAGGCTTTCAGCATGTGACTGACAGCAGAATGGACCTTCAGAGAGATCCCTTGTCCTGTACACGCTGGGGTCAGACTCATGAGCCATCACCCGGCAAGGACCCTGTCTGTCTCCCCAGCACAAGCCCTGGCGCCGGAACGCAGTGGGGCCTTCCGAAGCACGGCGGCGAAGGCCAGGCAGGGCGGGCAGCGGTACTCACGATCTCCCACATGGACTGGGCTGGCATGCACGAGTCACAGTGCACCAGGGACTCTGTAGACTGCGGGAAGGTGTTGGGGACGCTGTAGCTGAAGCACTGTCCCAGGCACGCCCTGCGGGGGAGAGGCCACCGCGCCCGGGTCACTGCGGCGGAGGCAGGGATGGGCAGCCCTGTCCTCCTCCTCCCTCCCGGGCGCCTGTCTCCCTCCCCCACCCCGCCCGGCTCCCACCTGTTCTGGATGGACTTGGCCTCACAGCCGCTGTGGCCCACGATCTGGGTGATGTTCTTTGCCTCGCACCAGGCGCTCTTGTCTGGGAACAGGGCCAGCTTGTTGATGGGCGGGGGGGCGGCCAGCAGCATGGCGGGGAGGACAGCCCCCACCAGGACCCAAAGCATCGTGCCCGCGGCCTGTAGAGCCCTAGAACTGAGCACAGACTGCACGTGAGGCCAGCAGGGCCCGGGACGCTGGGCGGCGGGGGACGACAGTGTTACAAGCGTGGACTCTGACACCTGACGGCCTGGGTTCAAATCCCGGCTCCGCCACTTACGAGCCTAGCACAACCTTGGACAAGTTACTTCTCCTTTATGTTTTTATTTATTTATTTTTTTGTGAGGAAGATCGGCCCTGAGCTAACATCTGTTGCCAATCCTCCTCTTTTTGCTGAGGAAGACCGGCCCTGGGCTAACATCCGTGCCCGTCTTCCTTTACTTTATATGGGACACCGCCACAGCACGGCTTGATAAGCGGTGCATCGGTGTGCTCCTGGGATCCGAACCTGCAAACCCCGGGCCGCCGCAGTGGAGCGCGCACACTTAACCGCTGCGCCACCGCGTCAGCCCCATTTCTCCTTTATGAACCGCAACAACGGGCTGCTAACAGTATGTGCATCAGATGGGTATCAGGAAGATTAAATATTACATGAAAAGCTCTCAGCAGAGAGGCTAGCAGGTAATAAACACTCCGTGTGTGTCAGTTATTTCTATAACTTACTATGTAGCTTTGAGCAAGTGACTTTTTATCTCTGTGCCTCAGTGTCCTCACCTAAAAAGACAGGGATGGTAACACTGTGGACGGCCAAGGACGGCTACAATTCCTGAAGATGACACTCAGTTTCCAAGGACATGCTGAGTGTTGACCGATTACTAGCTCCCTTCTCACTCTGATGTGGTGGATCCTCCGGGGAACACAGAAAAAGGCCCCCCAGTGCCTGCCCCAGAGGGCCTGGCCACCCAGATGTCTCCCGGACACGCCACGGCTGTCGGCTTTCTGATTCAGGAAGCTAACCTCCATCTTCATGTCACTGTCAATTCTTGTGCCACCTTGGCTGGCTGGACCTCAGGCAAAAAAACTAACCCCAAACTAGACTGTATTTATTTTTTTGGATGCCCCCTCAGAGCGTCGAGCCCTGAGTCTACACACACGTCATTATCACCAGCTCCATCCTAACCAGAGTCAAGCAAGAAACAAGCCAAGCCAAGCGCCTGACCTTCTGCAAACTGGCTGGAACAAGATATTACGGCAATACCAGAATTTGCCAGAAGGTGGTGCTGCAGGGCAGAGTGAGCGTCAGAAGGACTCTGCTCAGAGGGGGCTCTCCCAATGTTGTCTCCCACCTTCTGTAGGTTTTGCCCACCACCCCCCTCAAAAAACGTGGAGGAGGAAGGCTCTGGAGAGATTCGGAAATGAGGGCAATGCCCACACGAGGGTCCTTTGGGGACAGGACACCGGGGAAAGGGCGCTGGCCTGGGAGTCAGGAGTCCACACACGCTGACCTGGTCCAGTTCAGTCAGTCTGGGATTCTGCGTCTTGGGACAGTTCCCAGAGGGGCCTGGGTGGGGCTGAATCGGGAGAGAGGCCAGGGGCTGTCCCACGGGTCCCCCAGCCGCCCAGCACTAGACTTGGGGGTGGGCATCCCTTTCAGAACAATCCTACCCTCAGCCCACCTTCTGTAAGTACCTTGTGAAGTGTCTGGGGAGGGGGAGAGGTTGGGGGGGTCTTGCTGGTTCTGAGGTGGGCAGGCTCAGCTGGGCTTGCGGGGAGGGCCCAGGCCAGCCTGCAGGGCTGTGAGCACCTCCACAGCCCTCTGCTCTCTCCGTCCACGGGTCCCCTCAGCTCCCGCCCCTTCTCCCTGCAGGAGGTCTCTGGAAACAGAGAACCGTGTCCCATCTCCCTGGATCCCAATGCCCGCATGATCCCTGCTCCCTGCCCAGCAGGGAGGGGTGAAGCGGGCAGGGCAGTAGGAGGCAAGTCCAGATGGCCTGCCCACCCCAAGTGAGTCTGTCACGACCCAGGCTCTCACCCACACATTTCCGGTCTTGCTCACAATATTGACAGCAAAGCCCATGTTTTCAGTACAACCACATCCTAACAAAATAGAATGGACTTGTTCCTAACTGGCAACCTAACTAATTTTTCAACAAGCTTAGCATCCTGGAGGCTTCCTCAGCCCAAGGGAATCGGCCTCTGAGTCAGGGTCTGACCACAGCACACCAGAAGAGGCCCCGTAGACCCCCCCGGGGCCAGAGTTCCCTGGGCCCTCCCCAGGCTGGACTGGCCTCCTGGAGAGCTCCGAGAGGCCAGAGGACTTTTGTCCTATACCTGACCCCACCAGCGTTCCGCAGAAGGTCAGGGCAGGTGGGCCAGGGAGGTGACTGGGGCAGGCCGTGATGTTCAGGTCTCCTTAGGACTTGAGACTGGGACTGGGATTGTAACGACAGCAGCCTGGAGAGGAGCACTGGGTCTGATGCGGAGCTGGAATCAGGAGAGGCTAGAATTGAGGCGATGGACCAGGACCCAGCTAAGGGGGAGCCGAGCTGACACTGGGGTTGAGGTTAATAACCAGGGTCACTGGGAGATGGGATAACAGTGAGTTTTTTAGGGGAGTCGCTGGCCCGGAGGATGGGGCCACGTTATTAGGGTCATGTTGTGACAGAAGCTGAGGAGAAACGAGACAAAGAGGCAGAAGGCCTCCCTCCTTGTCTTCCCCCCTTGCTAGTACACAGCAGAGAGTTAATCCTAAGGGCCAGCTGTGCCCCCCGAGGGGGCGCTGTAAGCCCACTCGCCAGGCCCGGACGGCCAGGACCTCAGAGGAGAGGGTGGGGCCACACTCAGCTCCCTCAGGCCGGCGGCCCTGAGCTCCAGCGGACTGCCCAGCTCCCAGCAGAAGATGGCCCCTGGAGTCCCCTACGTTCAAGTCCCAGCCCTCCCACCCAGGAGCTGCGTGACTTCCGGAAATAAAGTCACCTCTCCACACCTACCTACCTCAACCCTGAAACGGGGAGCATGGCACTGTCCTTGGAGAATGACCGGGAGGATGCAATGAAAGCAGCCAGCACCCAGCAGACGGCCAGCTCAGGCCAGTTCTCCCCCCGGGGGATCATGGGAAAGGCTGGGCAGGCCTCAGAGCCCAAGCTGAGCGCCCGAGCAGGAGGTAGGAGGACGCCAGGCTAGTCCCTCCACACACGTCTGCCATCAGGACACACCCACCGCCCTCCTGCCCTCACACCCAGCCCCCAAGAAGCCCCGCTGCCCTCCCTTCACACTGCGGTGGGCGCTTTGCTAGCAGGTTTTATTTTTTGTTGGTTTATGCTTTTTTGTTTTTCCAAGCAGCAACTCAGCTAACTTTTTTTACACAGCAGTCAGACCTTCCTTCTTGAGACTCAGAGCCTCGCCCACAGATTCTCATCCCTTCCTCTCCGCCCTGAAGGTCACACAGCAAGTCATGGGACTCCCACAATGCCAGGGTGGGAAGGGGGATCCACCTGCCCCCAGCGAGCCAGGCCGAGCAATGCCCTTGCCCCGGGTCATGCAGTTCAACGCTTGTGTACTGAGCACCTTCCAGGAGGGCGGAGAGGGAGGCGAGGGTGAGAACAGGGGAGCTGGGGTCCCAGACTCTACGCCCCACCAGGAGCTCAGAGCCTGGAGGGGGAGGTTGAGGGAGGTGGGTAAGAGGAAGCAATTGCTCAGAGACAGCTGTAGGGGGCAGAGGGTAGAGATTCCTCATTCTGGATTTAAGACAGGATTACAATCAGTTCCCAATGGTGGGGAGAGGAAGGGAGCTCCTGGCTGAGGGAGCTGCGTGAGCAGGGGATCTATTGCCATCAGCCCAGCGCAACCTCCCCCTGCCTCGAAGTCACAAGAGCTGGTTCTATCTGGGGACTATGCACTATTCTAAGGGCTTCACATACATTCATTTATTCAGTCCTTACAATAACCTAGTGAGATAGGTATTATGTCCCCCATTTTACAGATGAAGAAACTGAGGCACAGAGAGGTTGAGATTTATTCGAGCTTACACGTTAGTAAACAGAACCGAGATTTGAACTGGACAGTAGCAGGGTAACAACCAGCTACCTCTGCAGATGGTCCACAGAGGAGAGAGCAAGAAAGGGAGGAAGAGAAGGCGTCCGGGGAATCCGGGGATGGCCTGGAGTGGGCATGAGGCCTGGGGCAGGCTGTGCATCTCACCCCTGTGAGCACTCGATGCGCAGCCACCGCCTGGGTTGGAAGCTTGGGAGCCCCTTGGCGCAGAGTGCAAATCCCCCTGCCAAGGCCCCTGCAGATGAGCATATGGCCATGGCAGACCCTGTCCTCAGAGCCTCAGGACAGGTACGAGGCTGCCCTTCCTCAGAGTCGTGGCGAGGCTTCTACGAGACCGTCCTCGGCCCAAGGTGGGGGGCTTCTTACCACCCCACCGTCCACTCCCAAATCCACCCCCTCCACATCCTCAGAGGCCTCGGGCAAGCACCTGACACACTCTGAGGCTGCCGACAACAGAGAAAGGAAGTCCCAGGGGCACACTGACTGACCCATTCCAGCACCATAGAAACTGAGACGCAGGTCAAGGAAGGGCCCCCGTGTCTCCCACATCAGGGAAGAGGGCAGAGAACAAACACAGGAGACCTGCCTCTGGAAGGGGAGGGGCTGGGGCAGCAAGAACGCAGGCTTCAGGGTCCAGCCTTTGGGGTCCTCTACTTTTCCACACCTGCCAGAACCTAGCACCTTCCCTGGGATGCACCAAAAACTCAGATGCCCAGGCCCCAGCCCTCGATGTTCTGACCCCACAGGTCTGGGGTGTGACTCAGGCATCTGTAGGGGCTCCCACAGGATTCTGAGGCCCAGCCAGGTCGGGAGCTATGGCCCCCCAACTCCCCAGAGAAGGGTCCCGCATAACAGCACTACTGCCAGGGGCCACCCACCCCACTGCCTGGATTCTAGTGCCTGGAATCAGGTCTTCTATTCACCAGAGGGGCCATGATTTCAAGGGAGACGTCAGGCCCACACCACCCACTGTGCAACCCTTCCTACAGCAAAGACTCGATTTTGTATAACAAGTGAACAATTGCTCCCCACTTCCTCTTTTGGGTAAATCTGAATATTCAGGGTTGCTTAAGGCCAGGTACACCCCCAGCCCCCCCTTCTCTCTCTCTCTCTCTCTCTC